GATGGAAAACATGAATAAATAATATTAATTAATGATGGATGGAAAACATGAATAAATAATATTAATTTAATGATGAATTGAAAACTTAATAATTATAATATTTATGTTCAAAGTGATGTATAATAAACTGTCTATTTATCTTTAATTTATTCATTACTAATATTTAATTTACTATTATCCATTTATAATATTTTAATAGTTTGTGACGTCAAGAGGATGTCTGACATTTGCTGTACAGCATATTCAATATTGATGAAATAATTGTCATGAGGATACTGTACAGTATTTGATGTCAGCAAATTTGATGCATTAATGAGTTGCTGTTCATGATAAAATAATAATTTGTATTGTTGTTTTTTAAATTTTATCTATCTATGTTTTAATACTTGAAAATCATAGATTTGCCATGCATTTAAAAATCTTTTTATACTTACATAGCATTATTTATATAGACTTCATGAAGATCAGAGCATTTAGAATGGACTATGGTAGTTCATATGTACAGTACAATAACTTTCTTCTCCCCTGGTCTCTGAGCTGGCCTGAAAGCTGCTATCAGTTACTCTCGTCTGTCGACAATCTTCCATTATTTGTAAATTATTTTCTAGTATTGATTGATGGTCATAGAAGGGTTACAGTATACCTTTTAGTCAGATTTAATTTCCTTATTTTGTCCAATTTAAAAAAATGACATTTTGGCTGGTTCTTGGGGACCCGCAGCAGCTGCAGTATAGCGCCAGCAAGGGCTTAGCCAGTGAGCCGTCAGGCCGATTTTTGACGGCATGGTCTACTCAGCTCGGCCTAGCCTAGTTGGGCTCTATGGTCTACCTTTAGCAAATTATATTCTTTGAATATATCAAATGTTGCATTAAACTAAGCATATTTCGGACGGCCTATTTTTGTTTTTCTGGCCAAAACCGTGAGTGGATACAGTACATTGAAACTTATCCCGCCTAACTCTTAACCAAGGATCATTCCAGGAGTGGATTGATCTGACTCTAAAAACTGACACTGGCCAAGTTTGAACCAGAGTTTTTGGCCAAATGCTCAGCTCAATTTAAAGTGTCATCACAGGTATACAGTATTAAAATAAACAGTGTTCTTGTTATCAGACAAAATCATGGCAACAACAAATTTAATTTTTTTTTCATTGCAGAAAGCTTCATCTCCACCGTATGCCAAGTGCCACAAATATAGTTTGGGAAGAGTTGCCGGGGGTTACGATTCTCAAACCTCTGGTTGGAGTTGATCCAAACCTTAAGGAAAACTTAGAAACATTTTTTAATCTGAATTATCCAAAGGTAGGTGAACTTACTCAATCAATCAATCAAATTATCAATATCAAACAAATAATCTCCCAGTCAGTCAAAATCTTTGTTTTATAAAATATAAACATTCTAGATGAATACTAACAAAATCACAAAGAATTAGTCAAAATCCTACAAATATCTATAGATACAATGAAATCTTCTCTAGACTACGTATTTCTTAGAAAAATGTTGTATAGTATAATTGTTGTTATATGAATGCTCTGAAATAACTGAAATTCAGGCATTTTAAATAAATGTTTTGAGATTTTAGACTCAACTCACACTATCTACCAGTACAGCCATGATATTGGCATGCTACAGTACTGTAACCCATTTAATTCCTTTTGTGTGAAGGCCCACTGGTACACGATAGGCTTGCATGGACTTTAATAAACCCAGTACCCATTTAAACTTTACATCATTTGACACAAGTTGGGGGATGCTAGTAAAGTACAGGGACTGGACTAGACAGCCTTTCCCCCCCCCCCCAATTGTTGTGGAGAGACAAAAGGTGTTATCACTGCTGTTAGCAGCACGGACACAAAGTTAACCCTTATGGTCAAATCTACTTATCGAAGCATCAAGCGCTATGAGCATCAGTTTGACAGGTACCGGCGCTATAGAAATTGCTGAATATTATTATTGTCTAATTGCTAATTGTAATTCAATCCTCAAGGCTGTGAGTTACTCAAAGAAAATTTAAAATAATAGAATTCAACTTTTGAAATTCAGCATTTTAACAAAATACTGTTTATCTTTTCAAATTTGCAATTATAATGCAGTTCAACCATCTTTCATGTGTAGCTTGTGGCTTCTGCTGGTATCTGAATTGTTTAATAAACAATAAAGCACAGTGATCATATATACAATACTTTTATATAGTAGGATACCAATACTATGTATTTATCGATAACGTACTAATATTGATTTGAAATTGGTACCGAAAACACCATTTAAATGTTACTTGCAACTGTAGGAATAAGCAACAAGTACATATTTTTGTTGTAACAGAATTTGTTTCAAATATTTTGACCTTCATAACGAGTGATTATTGACAGATTTTCTCATTTGCATATTTGATGGATTGGTGTTGCATTTCACAACACTGTGCTTTTAACTGTAATACAAACCTATATCAGTATTAGTTTACAGTATAATTGTGATCGTTGTCTTTATTTGACCTCCGTATTATATTACATAAATTAGTTGTAATTAATAGTTAATAAAAAGTCCTATGTAATAATATTGTATATTAAAGTATATTATATTATATGGCAATAATAATAGTACTGGGTACAAGATGTGTACACATTCGGTGAACGAATCACAGAAACAAAATCACATTTTATTAGTCGGAGAATCTCTTTATCAATCTGACTACATCCTTCTTTTCAGCCAGTAATCTATTATATTTGGTTTAGTGGATGCATGTGATGCACCATGTAAGGCGTCAGGCTTTCAAACGAAAAGTCAGGGGTTCGGGATACAGTAGGTGCTCGTCACACAACTTGTGTCCATGGGTTTCTGGTATAATGTGAATGATTTCGGAATGAAATCATGCTGATTACACACGAATACTCCTCTTGTAGGCTGCACGTTGTGAATGATTGATTCTGTATTAAATGACCAGGGAATAAAGGGTCTTGAGCATTTCTACCATAATTGGATGTGCGTGTAAATCTTATTAAAAAGTAAAATAAAAAAAAAAAAACAACAAGTTTTGTTTATTTTTTTACAAAGGAAAAAAAAAAGACAACAAAATAATCAGAAATCAGATTATTTTTAAAACAATTTTTACAGTAGATTAAAAAATCAATTAGCAAGGAGAGCCACGTTAATAATTTGTTTCAAGAGCTGAAATGAAAACTCCACTGTCATAAAATTCAAAAAGATAAAGATCTTCTTGTTAAATAAGATCTGTGTGTCATTGTTATACAGTATCATCTATTTCTTAGTAGATAGTGTATAGTGTATTGCGCACCTACCCTGTATGGATAAATAATTATTAAGACAACAATTTACCATAGTTCTAGAGCTACAGTAGTATAAGCCTAATTCAGGATTTAGGATATACTGTACCGACCCCTACTTTAATCTGATTTGACGCACCAGCATCTCCCCAAGATCCCCAGGGGCATGATTTAGTCCAGCTGACAGAGTTTGGCTCTGAATTGCTAAGCTGTCCGGCGGGGGCAATCTACAGCTGAGTCTACTATCAGTTTATGGGAAAAATTAGTTTCCTCTGGTGCCTAGAAAATCTCAGTGGGTTTGTGTCATTTTAGGCTGTTTTATGATGTTTAAGCATTCAACAATTTTTATTTAGAAAGAAAAAAAAATTTTTTGGTCTGACAAGTCCGGCTGAAGAGGACTTGTCCTTCCCCAATTTGACCCGCCACTGAGTTTTGAGCTTTCTTCTGTAAATTAAATGTTAAAATAGTACTTTCCGTACTTGATTAAATGATTTTTTTTTCTCATAAAAAATGTCATGTGGTCCTCTACTGCAGATACACCTTTGATCTTGGGCACCAACATAATACGCTGATAATTCATCAGAATGCAAGATTATAATTACTATTGATTAGCTTGTAATATTGATTCATACGTTAAATCACTATGTAATAAGTGTCACCACATTAGTCGTTGGTTGGTTTGGTGTCAAAACGCCATTTGCATGACAGAGCCCAGGTCCCTGTCAAACATTATGAATAATAGCAGTGTGGTAGTTTCTCAACAACCTCCATTACTGTAACATGGAGTTTTGTGCTAACAGTAGGCCAACAGTACTGTACTACTATCTATAGAAAGGACTTGAAAGCTACTTAAGTATTTATATAAATCTGGATTCTTTTGTGTTTAAATATTTGATTTTATTTCCATGCAGATTTATTAATAGTGTATAGTAAACCAAGTGCTCTAGTATATCCCTGGTCGTTGGATCAATATTGTATATAGAGTTAATCAATGTGTAAAATTTCTACTCCTTGGGGATCCTTACTGTATAGAATATACTGGACAGTTTTAGTAATTGCACAAACACTTTTTTTTCATTCTTAGGAATGTCTAAATTCAGTTAAACTAGCAATTCCGTATTATATTTATAAATCTTTATAACATTATACAAAAATTAGATTTTTCTTAAAAATTGAAATTTTGCCGGGAATGGGGCTTTAAGTATTTATATAAATCTGGATTCTTTTGTGTTTAAATATTTGATTTTATTTCCATGCAGATTTATTAATAGTGTATAGTAAACCAAGTGCTCTAGTATAGGCTTATCCCTGGTCGTTGGATCAATATTGTATATAGAGTTAATCAATGTGTAAAATTTCTACTCCTTGGGGATCCTTACTGTATAGAATATACTGGACAGTTTTAGTAATTGCACAAACACTGTTAAAATCCTAAAAGCCAGTTTCAGTGATACAGTCCAGTATTATTAAGAAATGCACAGAATGAAAGGATAGAGTGGAGCTGCATGTTTCTGATTGAAATTTATTAGCAACTTATCATTCAGAACTTGTGAATCACTGTATCTTTCAAACACAAACTTTTAAAAGTTCTCCTGACTTGAGATAACTCGATGTAGATGGAGTGAACAATTAAATCTTGTGACTTTTAAATGTTAAAGGGCATGCTCCTGTATACAGTAAATGCTTGAATTAACGCTGCGGCGCTTATAAAATTGTTGAAGGCTTCTGGGCGGCACTTGTTCGAGAGCAGCGCTTAAAAATATTGGCGTGGCGCTTTCCATGCCCGTTCCCATGTTACAATGTATTTAAAACAAAAGTGTTTAATTACACACAGGGTAGTTTTGATAATAAAAACTTTATTTAACTACGGAAACACTTGTTCACCACAATGTTGTTTTTCAACAAGGCCATATTAAAAGGCATTGTACAACTCAACAAAACAGAAATTAAAACAAAATGGTAATAATAGACTAACTACAAAAGAAAATCACATTAGGGCCTACTGAAAGAAACTTAACAACAGTATATTAATGAAGGCAAGACTTTTTTTATGCCTTGTTTATCGAACCCACCGACTGCAAATATTGATGATTTTGAATAAAAATAAAATTTTAGTTTTTGGCTAATTAGCACACCTGCTGCCACAAAAAAGTGGAAATTTCAGAAAAAAATAAAAGTTTTTCTTCATTTTTGTTATGCCCTCCGCTGCCTTGAAATCTCCAAAGATAAGATGTATATTTCTTCCTAATTATAAATTTGAAGCATTTAACCATCCTAATTTACATTCACCAATAAAATTTTATTTTTGTTTTCTCCTCCGGCTAGATGTTTTTGGCAAAACTATTTGTTAAATAAGAAAACAGAATTTTATTTTTATTTTTATTCCGCCCTCCTCCGATGATCTATAAAAAAATAAGTATGCAAAACAAGGATAAAAAAGAAGTCTTGCCTTAACTGAATTATCTTAAATACACTTTAAATCGTTAACTGTACTTTTAATTGATTTTTATTTGAGTTTTTGAGGTCATCACTAAGTTAATTCCATAATTTAGCACCTCTGTAGGGTAAGCTACTTTTTGTTATAATCTGTTTTGGTTTGGGTAGTGTTAAATGATTTTTAAATCTGGTGTCATAGGGACATTCTGTGGAGGTTGTACACCACGATTTAATGCATAATTAAATTTAATATTTTTGCTTGCTCCAAACCACTAAATGTACTTTGTTTTACTATAAATTAGTGTAAACATAATAGTTTGTGCTGGAGGCATTTGATTTAGATAATTTTCATGGTCGGAGGCACAAAAATATTTTTTCCAGGCCTGCCATACATTATCCATCACATGCTTTTTAGGGACGTCACATGCCTTTTTAAATTCTATTATAATTTATTCTATTCACATCCGAAATTACATGGAAGTACTCATGCATCGCATACTGAATTGAGAGCAAAGGTAAAAATGCCAATTTACAATACAGCAAATTGTAAATAAATATACAAATTTTTATTTCACTTGATTTTGA